GGTTGTTATGGCTCATAGGCCCTCCCAGGGTGGTTGCCATGCTCTCTACCTCATTGCTGTGCACTTGTCCGTAAAGCACATCCAGGGTTGTAAAGCATCGCGCCACCAGCTAACTTCTGATTGGTTCCCTGTCACGAGACAGGATTCTGACTTTCTAGTGTCTAGGGCAAGGTCATAGAAACACGTGTTCGACCGTTATGGCTGCCAAAAGGGAAGCCGGTTCCTTCAATACAACTACAGCTGTACCCTTTGAAGAACCATCTGTGAAAACCACACGCCCCTTGGATTGTAGGCTGAGAGACTACAATCTTTGGAAAAATCAAAGGATGTATCTTAAAAAAGGAAACCAAATTATTGGATGGGTAATGGTTGTCAAAATCACTCTGGGTAGCAGAGAGAAAAATGGCCCAATCACAGCTATTATTTTGTAGCCACTCTAATGGGACAAAGGTGTAACAATTTGATCCGGCTCCCTACCAAAAGTTTGTAAGGCAACCTTTTGTGCTTTCAATAGGAGTGTAACTATAGCTTGGAGATAGGATACCACTGATTTAGATGGGGAGGCTTGAGAATGAACCCAAAGAATAGGATTCTCTTGCCAAAAAACTCCCGTAGGGCATGAGCAGAGCAAAATACTAAGAATTTTAAAAGCTGGGCATAATCTATATAATCCAAATGAGCCTCTTCTAAGGCCTTTTCAATTAAATGGATACACTCCCGACCTGCTGTAAGTAGTAAGGACTCTAGGAGAGTTGGGATCTGAATCACCTTGTAAAATATCAAAAAGAGGTTTAACCTGTCCAGTAGTAATTTTTAAACTAGGTCTGATGCAATTGATATCTCCCAGAAGCTTTTAGAAATCATTTAATGTTTGAAGGGTGTCCAGTCGAAGATTAATCTTTTGAGGGCGTACCCCATTATGAAGCAAGCCATGTCCTAGATAATGATATAGAAACTCCTTTTGTACCTTCTCTGGTGCTATTTGTAAGCCAGCCAATCCTAAGGTGGTCTGAAGATCCCCAAAGGCAGATAACAATAGCTTTTCTTTTGGTGCAGCCAACAATATATCATCCATATAATGAATTATATACAATTGAGGATATTTTTGTCTGACTGGCTCTATAGCCTGAGAAATGTAAACTTGACACATGGTAGGGCTATTAGCCATGCCTTGAGGCAAAACTACCCACTGATATCTCTTATAAGGCTCTCTTAAATTTAAAGATGGAACACTGAAAGCAAAGCGCTGACAATCAGGGGAAGGCAGAAGGGACAATATGATCGGCAATGAGTTGCTCCTGGACCAGGGCATGAGCAGCCTCCAACTTTACTTTAGATAGGGGCCATTGTTCTACCCAAACGGGTTCATCATTTTTCCAGGTGATAGGAATTGGAGGTATGTGAGGCTGCAGAACAATGGCCCCCATTAAAAATGCCCCAATCCTCTCCGGTCTCCAGGCAATCTCTGCACTGGGGGTTTATCAGATACAAGCAGGGGATCACCCTGTAAATTCTTTCCAATCCCTCTTCCTGGGCAATAGCCTTGCTCTCTAAGCATGTGCTGCACAGGAGGTGTGGTCAGTACGGCCCCTATGGTTTCTAGGATATCTCTGCCCCGCAGATTGATCGGGATGTGAGGCAAAATGAAGGACTAAAATATTCCAGAATGTCCCTCATTGTCTTTCCATGTTAGTAGACGGGAACTTTTACTAGGTGACTTCACTAGGCCTATACCCTGTAAGCTACTATCTGATTCTTGCAGGGGCCATGCCTTGGGCCAATGGTTGAGGGAAATGACAGACATGTCTGCACCCATGTCCAAAAGCCCCTGAAAGGTCTGTCCTTCAATAGTCAGGGTCATCAAGGGTCTGGACTCCAGAGTAGACACCCAACATGCCATAGGTCCCGTAGATCCAAACCCCCTTCTCCTCTTACAGGCTTAAGGAAGGGGTTATTAGTGGTAAATTTAGGGGACAGAACTAACTGAGCAATTCTA